AGAGAGAGAGAGAGAGAGAGAGAGAGAGAGAGAGAGAGAGAGAGAGAGAGAGAGAGAGAGAGAGAGAGAGAGAGAGAGAGAGAGAGAGAGAGAGAGAGAGAGAGAGAGTAAACTAGGTCTAATAATGATTAGTTGATTAGTTTTTTTCAAAAATATTATACTTTTAATAATTATAAAATTATCTCTTATTTATGATATATAAAAATTTTATCTATCAATATATTAAATTAAAAAAAAAATATAAATAAATGTTACAAGGTCATTATATAATATATAATAGAGCTTTATTTTATTTAATTTTTATATACATTTATAAACATTATAAAAATATTTATTATTTTAAATTTTTTTTCTAATTAAATTAATTTAAAAAAAATATTAGATTAGACAAAATTATCAATAAGAAAAATTGTTTACATTAATTGATAATTAAAATTAAAAAATTAAAAAAAATAGATAATTACTATTCCAGATATTATAGATTAACATATTTTAATCATTTAATTTGTAAATATCATATAAAAATAATAATACAAAATCAAATCAATTAAAATTATCAAAACAACAAAAAAAACAGTAATAAAATTTTATTTATTTTATAAACTAATTAATAAAATAAAATTAATATTGTTAAATAATTTTTTTTAAAAATAATTTATTATTAAACTAATCTTTTAAACAGTTTAATACATAAATACAGAATTTATTTTATTTAATAAAATATAATATTTAGTTTAATTAATGTCTTTATTTTTAGATAATATTTTTTTAAATGATATATATATACTAATCATTTAAATATAACTTAATTTTGTATTTTTTGTAAATTTTATTTGTATTATTATTTGATAACAATATTAGATTAGATTGTAATTATCGACAATACAGTATACTGTAGTTGTTTTTAATTTATTATAATCATTAATAACTAAACAATACAATTATTAATATTATTATTAAAAAAAAACATTTGACAAAATAAAATTAATTGTTTAAACTATTGTATATACAGTATATATATTTTTATATTTCTACAATATTTATTTGAACCTAAACTTAATATTTATTTGAATAAAAATTTTATTTAATTTAGTAATAGTAATAGTAATAGTAATAGTAATAGTAATAGTAATAGTAATAGTAATAGTAATAGTAATAGTAATAGTAATAGTAATAGTAATAGTAATAGTAATAGTAATAGTAATAGTAATAGTAATAGTAATAGTAATAGTAATAGTAATAGTAATAGTAATAGTAATAGTAATAGTAATAGTAATAGTAATAGTAATAGTAATAGTAATAGTAATAGTAATAGTAATAGTAATAGTAATAGTAATAGTAATAGTAATAGTAATAGTAATAGTAATAGTAATAGTAATAGTAATAGTAATAGTAATAGTAATAGTAATAGTAATAGTAATAGTAATAGTAATAGTAATAGTAATAGTAATAGTAATAGTAATAGTAATAGTAATAGTAATAGTAATAGTAATAGTAATAGTAATAGTAATAGTAATAGTAATAGTAATAGTAATAGTAATAGTAATAGTAATAGTAATAGTAATAGTAATAGTAATAGTAATAGTAATAGTAATAGTAATAGTAATAGTAATAGTAATAGTAATAGTAATAGTAATAGTAATAGTAATAGTAATAGTAATAGTAATAGTAATAGTAATAGTAATAGTAATAGTAATAGTAATAGTAATAGTAATAGTAATAGTAATAGTAATAGTAATAGTAATAGTAATAGTAATAGTAATAGTAATAGTAATAGTAATAGTAATAGTAATAGTAATAGTAATAGTAATAGTAATAGTAATAGTAATAGTAATAGTAATAGTAATAGTAATAGTAATAGTAATAGTAATAGTAATAGTAATAGTAATAGTAATAGTAATAGTAATAGTAATAGTAATAGTAATAGTAATAGTAATAGTAATAGTAATAGTAATAGTAATAGTAATAGTAATAGTAATAGTAATAGTAATAGTAATAGTAATAGTAATAGTAATAGTAATACTTAATAATAGGGAACTTTCCTTTCATTGGGAATTTATTTTTTACTAAAACCCTAAACCCTATTCAATATACAGTTAATACAATTATACGGTAAGTATATAGCAATAGATGGCAATACTATTGAATGCAATGTATTTGTTATTTGTTTACAGTTTTATATTTATTTTGAATTTATTTATTTATTTAGTTTTGTTTTGTTATTAAAAAAAAATAAAATAAATATTTAATTATTTCAATCAATCAATTAATTAATTAGCGAAATGAGTGGCCATCAGATCGCCGCCGAAGCCGCCGCTGCCGTAATCGATGACCAACTGATAGTACAGGTACGCCAATCGGAAACTAGCCAACAGTTGGCCACTGCTGTCCGTCAGCTATCGAAGGCCATTGTTCAGCACCTGTTGTCCGCCGCCGCCACTGCCGTCACTGCCGACGCCGCGGCCGCCGATACTACCAATGATGGTCAGTCTGTAGTAGTGGAAGCGTTTCGGGCCATAACCGCCAAAGCTGTACCCAATGAACCCGACTATAGGACCGCCGCCGCCACCACTCACTCGAAGACTGCGGCCTCGAAAGCGCTGATTGTTTTCGACAATATCCGGCAATTGTTGATCAAAGTCGATGGCCAGCGGCTGCCGCTCGACCGGCAAGTGATTACCGAACTTTTGTTTATGATTGTCGCCCATTGGTCGCCCAGCGGCGGCGGCCGTCGTGAATGGTCGTCGCCCGAAGTCTACCAAAACAAATGCAAATGTCTGGAACTGGTACTGAAGATTACCGAAACAAAAACGGTCGGCGATCTGCTTAACCGAAAGTACAATCTCAGTCTTGTTCGGTCACTTTTGGCCAAATTGAAGACCAATGTCGCCGCCGACGGTGACAACGAGTGGCTATCGGTGGCCAGTAATTCGTTAATATTTGAATGGATTGTCCATAACATAGACCGGATCGACGCCACCAACTATTTGTACGATATATTTCCGCTGACTGTACAGCTATTAGACGACCATTTGATCCCAAACAAGATAATCGGTTGCAAATGTCTTCAACAATTGCTAACCACTACTACTACTAACCACTGTTGTTGGCCAGATCTACGATCAAACGGTTCCGATTTGTTGATTGTCGATCGTCTGAAACGATTGCTATACTATAAAGAAGCGGAACTAATGGAAATCGTTCTCCAATTGATTATCAATGTTATGTTGAAGACGTCTGACGACTACTCTGTGTCACCGAAACAACAGGACATCATCGTCGGCGGCGGCGGCGGTAAACATCAAGAGTTGACCGCAATGTCCCGTAACGACGAATTCTGTTGTCAAGTATTAAACAATTTGCTAATCTCTTCCGATCGTAACTATCGTATAATTCATCTGAAATTTTTGGATCAATTCTTTCCGATGGTCAACTCGTTGGCCATCAAATACACGAAAACTTATATCAACTTATTATTGAATCTAATCGATGACCAGTCGTCGTCGTTGTCATCGTCCGTCGGCGTCAAAAACTATCGACTCATTGAAGTGACAATCAATTCGCTGAACATATTTGTCGGTTGTGTTTGGCCAACAATTCACGAGTTTATCGACCGATGTTTGCTATCGTTAGTAAAACTATCGGTCAATGCGATGACGACTACCACCGCCGCCGCCGACAGTGACTTAACCGCCGATTTTAGGCACAAATTACGACAACAGATATGCGAATCAATTAGTCTATTGAAAAGTGTCGACAAAACCGATAGATTTAAACAATTATCCGAACGGCTTATCCAAAGCCAATACAAACATATGTTAAATGAATCGATATTAACGGCAATGTGTTGTTAGTTACCGATAATCGGTAATTGTATTACCGGTAATAATAATAATAATTTTTAAAAATCAATTCAATTTTATAAACATTTTTTGTTATTTATTTAAAATACTTTATTATTAGCTGACATTTAGATCACTAAATAATAATAATAATACTAATGTATAATAAATTATTTTTTTAAAACAAAAAATCAAATCATAATAAATAATATAAAAAACAAAAATAATTACAAACAAAAATTTACAGCAATTTATACATATATTTCAATAATATAAATATATAATACATTGGGTGCTACACAATGAAAGACAACAATAATAACAAAATAATAATAATTACCGATCAGTGACCAGAATATACTGTATAGTTATAGATAGTTATATACCTATTGGTGGCCAACAGTGGTCACCCGATAAATATAAGAGAGAGAGAGAGGGGTTTAGCGATATTTTTTTTGTTGCAAAAAAAATGTTTTATCAAAATATATATATATAAATCCTATCTATCTATCTATCTATCAATAAGTTATCAATTGATTTATGAGATTATAATTGTTGCTACAAATACAGTCAAAAAAATTTTTTGTTTGTTTTGTTTACGACAATTACTTTATGATTATTATCATTATTATAATTACCGTATGATTACACAAATAGCATATCATTTATCATCAAAAAAAAAATTATAAAAAAAATCAAAAAATGTGTGAACACATTGTGGATCAGTTAGTTTCGGTGTTACTATCGGTTAAAATCAATATATACTGTATATTATAATAATTGATGTCTTCATTAAAATCATAAAAAGATAAGATAAAGATAAGGTCTTCATCGGTAACGATCACATCACATAACACTAACACTATCGGCTTAACGGTTAACGTATCGGCGGAGTCGGCGGCAAATCTGGCGACACGTCGTTGTTGTTGTCATTGTCCTCATCTTCCTCTTCCACTTCATCCTCTTCGTCCTCATCGTCGCCGTCGTCTTCGTCGTCATCAGTACAACGATGGTTACAACGGGTGGACAACAATTGATGACACTTTTTATGTACGACCGATGAACACACTATACATACATATAAGAAGAGGAGAAGGAACAGGAGGTTAGAAAATCAGGGTTTCGGGTGATGAGTGACCACTGAACCCAATACATACCTCGACAGTGATAGCCTTGTATTCTCAGGCCGTGAATCGATTGCCGACAATGTGTACACTGTGTCGGCTGTCTGAGTATTGTAACCAAAAATCGGTGACCATTGACTGTAAACATTCGCCTCCGGATGGCTCCGCGTCGCCGACGTCTGGTCAGTCCGTACGGTCGTTCGACAAATTCGGCGGCAGCTACAGCAGCGGCCGGTAGTCGGTCATTGCTGCCACCGCCGGCAGTCATTTGATATCGAGGCGGGCCGGGCGGGTGACCGAAAAAACCGATAGACAGATGGATAGGCACTATATATCGCGCTGGGGATGTCTCGGTGATTGAGTTCGGTGGCGGTAGTGATATGTGTGGCCAACCAACCAATCAACAACAACAACAAAAAAACGGTTACCGAACTACCGAAACGAATGCCCAGAGAGATATAGAGACCAGAAAATATCGCCGACTTTTTTCAACTGAAACTAATTGATTGAACGTATAGTCAGTCAGTCAGTCTGTCTGTCTGTCTTTCAGTCGTCAGACATAACAACTCTCTCTCTCTCTCTCTCTTTCTATTGATATCTTCAGCCAAACAATAGGTGGCAGTCGTTGCTGTTGTTGACCATAACGACAGACAGACAGACTTCAGATGTGACGTATGACTACTACTACTACTACTACTAGTGTTGTTGTCGTCCTTAAGAAACAAAGTTTAAGTTGTGATCTTTAGGTGTGATCTTTCTTTACCACGACATCTGTGTTGTTGTTGTCGATCATTACCGATGGCCACCACCACAACCACTGCCGCCGCCGTCATCAGCGATGGCAACAAACAACAACATCAGCAGCAGATCCACAGTCTATACTTGAAGTCAGCGGTCACAGCCGTCTCTGCCGATGACCAACAAAAAGAGTTGTCGGCGACGACAGGGGCGCCAGTGGTCGTCAAATGTCTGGTTTGTGACCACATTGTTAGCTCCGCCGATGCTGTCGATGCGGACGCCGCCGCCACAGCCGCTGCAGACCAAAACAAAAGTAGTGATCCGCTAAAGAAGAGACCACTTTCATCGTCATCATCGGTGACCACATTATTAGCCACTGACTTACAGAAACATTTGCTGACCGAACACAAGCTAATCATTGCCGACATCGACACTATTGCCAATCTTGAGAAATACTGCGACTATTGGCGATCAAAGTTTGCCGCCACCGCCGCTGTCGACGCCAACAATGACTGGAGGAAACAATTTTGTGCCGCTATTACCACAAATAGGTGACAAACATATATGATATGACTGTCCTCTTAACTTAATTCTCTCTCTCTCTCTAAACTAGTGGACCGAACGATGTCTGTCAATCGGAAACCTATTATATGATCGGCGGCGACGACCAACACTTTCCCGAAGATAGTCAACTACGGCAACGGCTCAAAGAGGCCCGACTCGAGTCACTGTTACGTCAGTCGCAACTGGAGATCAACGACACCGAGTTTTCCCGTCAGTGTCTGTTCTGTCGGCGCGTATTTACCGAAAATCGATCGAATCTGTTCAGACATTTAGCTGCCGATCATAACTTCAATGTCGGCCATCCGGACAACATTGTCAACTGTAGTCAACTGTTGGACGAATTGGAGTCAAGACTCGGCCGACTGGAGTGTCTGTACTGCGAACGTACGTTCAAGTCGTGGCCGATACTCAAAGAACATATGCGTAAAAAAGGACATAAAATCTTGAATCCCGATAACAGACAATACGATAGATATTATTTGATTAACTATTTGTCGCCGGAGAAGGACTGGCGCGAAGTTAAACTGGAAGCCGATGACGACCGATATGACCGCAATTACCGTAATTACCGCAACAACAACAATAGCGGCGGCGATGAAGAAGATAACGACGATAGCAACGAATGGGACGATTGGACAGCAGATATGCGGACAGCTATTGCTGATACAGTCACCACCACTACTGCCGCCGCCGCCGCCGCTGCTGCCGATGACCACTGTATTTGTTTGTTTTGCCGATTTGAGTCACCAATACTCCAGCTAAAGACACACTTGAACACTGTCCACGGTTTTGATTTTGATCGGCTAGTTATCCGCGGGATTACCGATTTCTATCAACGAATCAAACTAATCAATTATTTACGGCGATCCGTACATAACCATAGATGTCCTAAATGTGAACAACAGTTCGGCGATTGCGATCAACTGGTCGTACATTTGGATTTTTCTGGTCATATATCATCCGCCGCCGGCAGCGGCGGTGGCGGTGGCGATGATGACCAGCCGCTACCCGATAAATGTCTATACGATTTACCCGAATATTATTTTTCTACCTATGAAAATGATAATCTATTACATTATTTGGATACTATAGATGAGTGACACCCACACACACACGGATGGGTGACCAACACGGGTGGGTGTCATGCACACACACACACGGGTGGGTGACTTATTGACTGACCCACCCTATTATATATGGAAATTAATAATATAATGTAATTACATAACAACTGTACATAATTTAATATGAAAATAAAAATTTATTATAACTATTAATTTTTAATTCAATCAAGGTCAATAATATAATATGTTTATATTATAAAAGTGACCAAGTAACAATGTTGTAGATATTAATTGATATAAAAACAAAATTATCAATGTAAGATTGGTATTATTTTTTTTTTTAATTTAATTAATTTTTTAATGATTGGTCATATATAAAATGATACGGTCTAACTGTTACAAAAAAATAATAATTGTACTAGTTACAAAACAAAATAATAATAGTTAAAATTTTCGATAAATAATTATAGGTATGAAACAATAATAAATAAAAATATCAAAAAACTAAAAAATATCTCTTTTTTAAAAAAAAAAATAAAACTATTTTAAACAACAAATATCAGAATAAAAAGTAAAAATAACAAACAAACAAAAAAATTACATTAAAATATGTATACAATAGTAAAAGTGCTTTATTTGGTATAAAAATTCTACAAATTATAAAAATTTAAATAAATTGTCATAAAATTAATATATAAATAGATATAAATTTAACTATAATTTTTTATAAATGATGATTTGATTGAAGTAATGGTGTGTTTTTGCAAACAAAACAAAAAAGATAATAAAATATATATGATTTTTATTTTAATATAAATTGTTAGTTTAATTGCCATTAAAATGTTTCGACCAATTGATTAAACGTTTTATATAAATAGGTATTTCACTGATGGTTACAACAGATAAACCAATCCATAAACCAATAGTACCACACATTTCATAGACAAGTCCATAGATATTCATAGCTAACTGTTCAGTGATTTGTGGCTCTAATGTATGTTTCGGTATTAAATTGATTTCAGTATAGTTCAGGAATCCCGTCGTCGACGACAACCCGACTGTTGTTGAACTCATATCCGGTATTATTCGGAAACATCTTCTCATAAATTGTTTCAAACATTTTGATTGAAAACTTTTAAATAAATCAAATATATTTTCATCATTACTCTGACAATTAGTTATCTCAGTATTTGTTGATAAATCTATTTCATGTAATATAAATGGAAAACAACTATTGGTTTTTAAATATTCATTTTCCACACAATTATCAACTTTTTGGACAAATTTATTATCAGAAAATAACTGATCCATTGGATTATCAATTGATTGATCCAAACACTGTTGATTGGGTGTCGACAACAGTTTGACGGCTTTAGTCGTATAAAAAATATTTGTTATACTATTTGGTTTGATATTGAATTCATTTTTAGAAATCCAATCATCAAATTCAGTGTTTAATATAATTACTGAATTCAATAACTGATATCTAATTAATAATTTTTTTAGTTTATCTTTTTTACTTAAAATAATCGATTTTACTGATGAATTAAACAGAAAATAATCATTAATAATAAGATTAAAACTTAAATATTCAGACATTTTGTCGGCAATTAATAAATTTAATTTTATTTGTTTTTCCGGACAATCCATATGTGATCCATCAGTAAACCAAAAACGACAATCAATTAGTAATTCATTTAATTGTTGTCGTAATAGTTGTCTGAATCTAATGTCAAACATTTTTCCATAACTATTAATATGTTTGTAAATATGTTTGAAATCTTTATCGATGTCATCGATAGATAAATCAATAAGTATTAGATCTCTATATATAATACCAATACTAATCATTGGTAGTCTAATATTGCTAACAAATTTTATTTGTGTTATTGTTTGATATGATTTATAAATTGAATAAATCGACAATAAATGCCAACACATTAGTAGAAAACATATTAGAAATATTAAATAATTTTTAATAGTTTTAATAAATTTCATAAATTTCTTGAAATTAGTAAAACTACTGATTATTGGTTTTAATTTAGTTATTGTTAGAAATTTTTTCAGTGAAAACATTTTCATTACTGATTTAAATAATGAATAACAACTGTATCCCCAAAACATAGTCATCAGTCCTCCCAATTCACACCAATAAGCTATGGCCGACATCACTGGTGAATGTATTACAGTTATTAAGTGATAATTATTAATTTGAACGGAAATATATGTTTTTATACGATTATAAAATAACAATTTTTCCAAATTAGTTACGAGACGATGAATATTATATGTATAATAATTACAATCGGGTTTGCATTTTGTTAGTAATTCAGACAATTTGTAATCAATTATACAATTTTTCAAAACAGTATTATTATTATTAATATTCTTATAGTAATTGTTAACAGATATAATTGATGATTGATTTTCAATGAGATATTGAGTCCAATAGTAATTATAATTACATTTTCTATACTCTCTATCAGTCATTACATTTAACATGCATTCAGTTCGGGATTTTGGTTGAAGTATTAGTCGTCCATCAGTTGATTGTTTGTCGCCATCGATATGATAATTATAGCAATCAGTCTGATAGGGAAACGGTAGATATTGTTGAAGATTTGTATCTATAATATAACCATTATATGTAAACTTTTTATTTATAATATCCATTTTGTGTTGGAAATGTGTGGGTGTATTACCAGTACTAAGCAATAGTTTTATTGGTAATACATTGGATAACTCTATTACTATTTCGCTTCTTGAATTTGAATTAAATGTTTCAAATTTTGTATAGTTACCCTGATACAATATAGTTATACATGGTTTACCCGTATAGGTATAGCGCAGATAGTTTTTATCATAAAATTCATTACATAATCGGCCATTTATTATGCAATTAAATATGTATTCAAACGGATCGTTACTTTCAGATAACCAATCGATCCACTGATCACTAGTAGTAAAACATAGTGTTATCGATGGCATAGATTTGATATCAAACACATTATCAGTTGATTTATTGAAATATAATTCACTTTTTGTTTTATAACTAAAGTATTTAATTGTATGCAAAACTATTATATAGTTGAATAATATCCACAATAATAATATGATAATAGTTTTGATATTCATAATTACTTATATATAATTGTTTAATAAATTATATAAAAAAAACAATATATATATAATTTATTCTGTTATTATTATTGGCAATTATTTTTTTTAATTAATAATAATACTAAACAATAATATAAACAATATTTATACAAAAATATATTTATTAAGGATTATTATTTTTTTTGTATCTAACATATACTAATAATATTCATACTATAAGACAGTTAACATACATAACACTATCATAAAGATAAAGGCAATAATATAATATACAATAACTAAAATAAAAATAAGTAATTAATTTTAATAATTAATAAATACTTACAATTAATTTTGTTATTGTAATATATTATTAATAATTAATACAGTTATTATTTTTTTATCGATGCTATTATATTTATATTATAAATATATTGTTATAAAATTAATATACTTTATTCAATGCAATTATGTATAATACTAATGTGTTTTTTATTATTATTAAATTATAAAAAATAATAATAATTTATTATTTATATAAATTTTATTGTTTCTATTATTTTTATTATATATATATATATTGATATATACAGTATATAATTATGTTTTATTAATATATAGAAAAAACTATTATTTTACTAAAAAAAATTTTTATCACTACCAGTCTCTTAAATATTTATAATAAATATACTAATAATAAATAAAAATAATGCAAAAATTTAGCATATAATTAAATGTACATAATATCAAACTACATATTATAGATACATTAAAAACAATTTTTATACCACAATTACAAATTATATTAACAGTTTTGTTATTATTAATAAATACTTAATTATTTAACTTAATTTTTACATATATTATTATTTTTGCTATCTAGATATATGTATGATCTAAATTAATTTTATATTTATGTTTTTATAATTATTGACAAATTTAGTCAAAAAAAAAAAATAATTAAATTTTTTTAACCATATATTCTTTAGTAGAAATTATTGTAAAATTGAATTAATAATTATTTTTCATTGAATAATTGCAAATATATTATTAATAAAATGTAGCTTATATAAGTTAGCTAATATACCTAATTTTAAATAATGTTTATTTTTTGTGACTAAATTTGGCAATAATTAAAAAAAACATAAATAAAAAAATAAACATAACATACATTTATCAAGATAACATAAATAGTAATATTTGTAAAAAGTTAGTTAAATAATTAAGTTAGAAAATACAAATAATTTAATTATAGATCTATTTAATCATCAAGATTTTAAAAAATAAATATTATCATTATTTTTTAAAAAACAATAATTATTTATTAATAACAAAAAAAACTGTTTAATATAATTTGTAGTAAATTGTGGTACAAAATTGTGATTGAATTTCTATTGTATCTATTATATGACAATATTTTTAGAGTTATTTTTATTATTTATTAGTGTATATATTTTAAATATTTAAGAGACTGGTAATGATAATAAATTTTTTTTTATAAAATATAATTTTTTTTTCTATATATTAATAAAACACAATTATATACTGTATATATATGTATATAAAAAATAATAGAAACAATAAAATTTATATAAATAATAAATTATTATTATTTTTTTATTATTTGCTGGAAAACACATTAGTATTATATAATTGTATTGAATAAAGTATATTATTTTATAACACTATATACAATATATTTGTATATACAGTATATATATATATATATATAATATAAATATAATATCATCATTAAAAAAAATAATACCTGAGATTACTAATTGTCAATCGGATGACAATATATTTGATTTATTTATAAGTTCTCAAACAAAATGTTTAAAACAAATTACGAAAAGATGTTTCCGAATAATACCGGATATGAGTTCAACAACAGTCGGGATGTCGTCAACGACGGGATTCCCGAACTATACTGATATCAATATAATACCGAAATACATATTAGAGCCACAAATCACTGAACAGTTAGCTATAAATTTTGAATCTTTTGTCTATGAAATCTATGGTACTATTGGTTTATGGATTGGTTTATCTGTTATCACAATCAGTGA